AGACAGTTTATCAATTTGCAAGATAATGTCACTTAAAAATGTGACTTGAAATAAATTTAATACGTATTTACTTTCAGAATCTTCATTCATTGTGTTTTGATAAAAATATTTATCTACTACAAAATATGTACTTATCACTTTTATTAGGTAGTTTTACTAATCCCTGGTGATTAATTCGAATCGACTTGACTGGTTTCAGCAGATTTTTGGGTCCATTTCTAAATTCAATTTTTATGTTACTGCCATGATTATTATTTAGCTTTAATTTAGTGAAATGTCGGTAAGATTACAAACTCCAATATATATTAATTATAATTCCTTTATTTTTTAAGTTCATGTTAATCTCGATGTTAACTGTGTGTTGACCATTTTTCTGTAGTAACAGTAACATTTTTGTATGACTGACTTTCTGGGCAAGTTTATTCACCTTCTGATAAACTGTCAAGTGTCAAATATGCAATCTGATGGATAAAAAAACGCAATCTGTAATTCCATTGGTCGTCCAGTTATCAGCCGACCGATAAAATTATTGAACGGTATATTTATCTTGCAGATAGTTACCAGCAGGTGAATAAACCAAGCCTCAATCTCCAAAAAAAACGATACCTATCATTATATTTTAATTGCATCCTGTGACAGCAAGGATGCTATTTCTAGTAGAATTGTACTAGATCTAGCACAATCACGTGTCACCTAGTACGCTAGTACCTCTCTCATGAATCTAGTACAATTTGGATTACGTGTCGAGTGTCGCTCTGTATCGTACCCGAGCACAGTAGCGACGCCAGGGTTTTACGTTAGGGGGGGCCAGGCTGGGCCAGAAAAATCTAGGGGGGGCACTTGTTTTTACTTTATTGCTTTTCTTCTTTGAAATAAAAAATGGGAATTGCAGAGTTTTCCCAGGTTTCCCGTATATTTTTGCACCCCACCTGAACAGGTTAATTGAATAGGTTTAAAAAGGTTTTTATTTGGATTTTGTATACAGGGTGTCCGTTTTTCGAGGGCAACCATTGGAATATAGGAAACGGTAAGAGATACAAAATCGTAATGAATAGCCAAATGTGTTACTGCTTTTGGGAGATCAAGAAACTCCGAATACAATTCATAAAAATGCAAACCTTTATTTAAAAAAATAAAGTTGATGATGATCGGCAAAAGACGAAACGTCGGATTTTAAATTTGAACACCATTATGTAAAGGGGAGAAAGTTGTCCCAATAAAGTGAAGTTTATTTGAAATACCTTTACAAATGAGTCCAGGAAAAAATAAAAATGATTTTACAAAATTTTGATTTCCGTGTATTTCCGGAAATATTTGGAATATTCCAAATTTCGAGTAGCGTTTTGTTAAGCAAGAAATTGCGCAACTTTGTCCCAATTTAACCCAACCTGTATCTCTTACCGTTTCCTATATTCCAATGGTTGCCCTCGAAAAACGGACACCCTGTATAGGTAAATTTTCTTAATACCTATTCAATTAACCGTTCAGGGTCGGTTTCTCAATAACGAGTCACCTCCGAGTTAGTTTTAACTCCAGGGTAAACGTGTTTAGTTGCAATGTTTATCCTGGAGTTATGCTTAACTGCTCTGACCCGGGGGTGACTTGCTATTGAGAAACCGGCCTTCAGGTGAGGTGCAAAAAATACACCGGAAAACCCTGTAGCTGAACAAAAATATGTTTGGGGGAATCCCAGGAAAGCGAAAGCAGCGTTGCGGTTGCCTGGTGCCCACCGAAAACCAAATTAACCAACAGGGGATACTCATGTTGCATTGCATTGTTGTCGACATTAGGGCAAGTTTTCAGGAGGGGCCGACTAAATTTCAGTGGGGGCCCCGGCCCCCTCTGGCCCCCCCCTGGCGTCGCCACTGCCCGAGCAGTGCCATCTTTACGCATGGGCCAGCTGGGTCCTGGCCCAGGGCCCCCTATCATAGGGGACCCCGTCGTTAATTTCTATGAAAAAGTATTCAAATAATAAATGATAATATCAATAATATCAAATGAAATATTATTCAAATAATAATTATTTGAATATAAACTAGGTGCTGTCCGACCATCTATCATTTATTTGCGGAACCTAATTGCTGTACTGAGCCATTAAATATTTAGAATTGTTTTGTTTTGTAAATGTCTTTTTAAGATATGACTTGTTTCTTGTAATACGATATACCTATTAAATATGATTATTTAGTTAGGCAAAGGTTATTTATTTGTTTGTATATGTACCTAAAAATATGTGCTTCATGTTGTTATTTTTGATATACATAGATATTTTTGTATACAGGGTGTCCACTTAGTGCGATTTCGGACGATATCTCCTTACAGGTACAGGGTGATGCAAGAAAAAAAATTAAATTACAAAGTTGTTTGATACTCTAATATGCATTAGTTGAGAATATTTTTGAATATACAGGGTGCTCCGTTTATGGAATATGCGACAGAACTCTGTTACGTTAAATGGAACACCCTAAATGTGATTGCATATTTGGATTCTACGTAAAATTCTTATACCTACAAATTCAACTGTTTTGCAAATATTGACAATTGAAAATTGACTTTTTGCAACTTTGACAAGCTGTAAAACCTTAACGGGTAATTTTAGACGAAAACCGATTTTACATCCCTGTCTTAGATTTTCATAAACTATTATTTAACACCAACTTTGAATTTAATCCATGATTAAAAATTTCAGTTAAATTTAATCTCCGGTTAAATTCAAAGTTGGTGTCAAATGATAGTTTATGAAAATCTAAGATCGGAATGTAGAATCGGTTTTCCTCTAAAATTAACCGTTTAGGTTTAACAGCCTGTCAAAGTTGCGAAAAGTCAATTTTCAACTGTCAATATTTCCAAAACAGTTGAACTTAGGTATAGAGTATATTACACTCTGCTCATAATTTTACGTAGAGTCGAAATATGCAATCATATACAGGGTATTCTATTTAAAATAACAAAGTTCTGTCGTATACCTCCTAAACGGAGCACCCTGTATATTCAAAATTATTTTTAACTAATGTATATTAGAGTATCAAACAACTTTGTGATTTATTATTTTTTTCTTGCATCACCCTTTAAGGAGATATCGTCCGATATCGCACTAAGTGGACACCCTGTATAAATAAATTCTGTTCCGAATAATTATTAGTGTTGCCTTTTTTGACATTTTCAAAAATGGTTATAGGAGCCCTCAAATTTAAAAGTGCCCAGGACCCCGAGATGGCTAGAGACGGCCCTGTACCCGAGTTCTGAGCTCTACTCTCTACTTGTGGGTTGAGTTTCACGTTCCAGGTCCCACTCCGGTGCGACTAAAGCCAAACAAGAAATTGGCATTTCGAATATAGTTTCGAACGCACGCGCACTTTTTTATTCTGTGACTTGACGTGTGTCATGTATCGGGGGTTATTCGGTTATTCAGCCGATCACGGTAATCGATAGTCGATTTATAACTGAATTTTAGAAATATTTATTTCTATCATTCAGGGCCGGTTTCTCAATAGCGAGTCACCCCCCGGGTTGACTCGCCCCTGACTCCAGGGCATGGGTAAACATTAATTGCAACTGGACACGTTTACCCTGGAGTTAAAACCAACCGGGAGGTGACTGGCTATTGAGTATTGAGAAACCGACCCTAAAACAAGTGATATTTACCTCCAATTAGCAGAGCCTACATTTGTATTCAAGTTTCAAAATTTAACGTGCTTTCAGCTAGTACACAATGTCGCCAATCTAGTACAATTATTCCCTACTTCCTAGTACAATTTTTTTAGTGCTGATAGCATCCCTGTGTGACAGAGGCGTCGACTTTTGAAAGGCCTCATGGGTGCAGGATAAAGCTTAATTCTCACTTGTGCGAAATTCGCTCTTTTTTGACATTGCTTTGACAATTTGACGTTTGATACACGCATAAAACGTCAAATTGTTGAAGTAATGTCAAAAAAATAGCGAATTTCGCGCAAGTGAGAATGAGGCATAATAACTTTATAAATTGGTTTATAGGGGGAGGGGAAAGATCGCCGGCGCAGGCGCCGCTAGAGGCGGAAAATTATTTCTACGTGTGCGAAAAGTGCTTTTTTCTGCACGCATTTTAGACCATGAAAATATCACTTTTCCGCACTAGTGCGGAAAAGTAAAATAAATATGCAATGTTAAGTCACCCTGGTACTTTCATGTCGTTAAATGGTTGTAAAGAAATAACGTTAATTAATCGTACGGAAAGTCTCTTTTCCTCATTAAATTGCTACGCACACGCCCTAACTGACGATTGACGTTTTGTTTTATCTTAGCCGCCTCTGTCAGCTGTCACTCGCAACCAATGAACTATGCGCACGAGCAAAGGCATTACTATAAAAGCTCCGATATATCGAACGGAATATATCGATATTTTTTTCGATATATCAAATGTAGAATATCGATTAGAATACATAATATATCGATATATTTGAGTTATACATATTTCGATATTTACAAAACATCGATATATCATTGCCATCCCTACCCATGCGCAAAACTAAAATAAAAGGTGTACGGCGCTAGCGCCACAAGGGCTGGCCTCTCTCTGACTTTCCGTTGTAGGCTGGACTGTCTCTATTATTATCAAAGAATAGAGATGCAAAATAGCAACTAGTAGCATAAAGTGATAGAGGACAAAATACTAATCACTTGTATAATCCTTATACAAAGTTGTGTAAATTCAAATTACATGATACTGATACTACCACATGGAATGGAATGACCATTAAACACGTTTGTACTTTCGCTTTCCCCATGAGAGTTCTCATGGGTGCACCTGCCCCCATGTAGTCGGCGCCAGCGTCCTGTGATCGGAGTTTTTTTTTTTAAATTGTAAGTTAGCATGTAGAAGCAATTTAAGCTTAGTGATTGTTTATCATATTTCTGAGGTCTCCTTTTTTTTTCAACTACCCTCGGCCAATCAAGTCACTCACAAATCGCAAAATAAATTCGCTTATCATACGAAACTATATTAAAACTTTTAAATTCTGCAGCAAAATGGAGACTTTCACCCATCATACCTCTACAACCCAGAACTTCTTGTCGGGCTCGACTGGAAATCCGTCCAACACTCTTTAAAACCTTCCATAACTAATGAAGATCCAGGTGAAGATTACTTCTTGGTCAGGCCTCTACGAATAGATGATTATGATAAAGGCTTCCTTCAACTCATCGTTCAGCTGACAACAGTAGGAGACATAACAAAGGCTCAATTTGAAGGTTAGTAATTTCCTAACTATAGCTGGCATAGAATATAAATCTTATTTTTAGCTCAGTTTCTGAAAATGCAAAAAGCTGGATGTTATTTTGTTACTGTGATAGAAGATATAAGACATAGTAAGATTATTGGTTCCGCTACTCTGGTTACGGAATTGAAATTTATTCACCAGTGCGGCAATAGGGCCAGATTAGAAGACGTTGTTGTGAATAATACTTATAGAGGAAAGCAGTTAGGCAAATTGTAAGTATCCTTGATAATAACTTGAAGAAATATTCGAAGCTGATTACAATTAAATAGGCTTATAAATCCGGGTCCAATTGTTTAAAGAAGAGCAATCATGATGTACTTTCCAATAATAATTTCATGTTGGCAAGCTGTGTTGCAGGGCAGCAGTAGATCGAAATATTATTTTTGGAAACCTTAAATATAAACTTTTAGTATTGACCTAATAATGTTTTTTCATCTTTGATATCATTTTGATAACCTGGATGTATAGTGTAGGTACAGGTGAACAAAATGATATCAAGGATAGAAAAAAAACACCTGTTACATATTGCTAAGGCCCTCTCTGGTAACTTATGTTATAACATAACCAAGCCAAGCTTTAACTTCATTTCTTTCTCATCTCTAAAATAATTGTAAGTGTTTCATCAAAAATTAAAATTAGATTATAAATTGACTAATTTATCTTTGGTCTTTCAGAATTGTCTTGACGGTAACTTTGTTGGCTAAAAAATTGGAGTGCTATAAAATGTCTCTAGATTGCAAAGATCCCCTGATACCGTTTTACAAGTCCTTGGGCTACATGTTGGAGCCGGGCAATGCTAATACAATGATTCTGAGATACGAGTCAAAATTATAATAGGAAAATGTTTGTAGGCTCAGTATGGGAAATTTGCTAGTTTTTTAAAATTTTTTGATGTTTCTTACAGGCTGTAGCAAACAACCCAAAAAAGAGATTAAATACATAAAAAATGAATTCTCACATAAAAGCCTAAATATTGACTGTCATGACCACATTTCAATAATATTTCGTTTCAACGTAGTTTTTATTTCCCATATTATGTGAGAATCCACCTTCAATATTTCAAAAAATAATGAAATTTAATTTTTTTGTAAACTTGGGAAGAGTGCAATATACCTACTTAAATTCTTTATTTTTAACTTTAACCATAGGTATGTCCGTTTAGCCTAAATTTGCCAATAAATTATAATGTATAGAATAAAAAGTTATTATTTGTATTTTTGTTGTTGTTAGGGTTTGTTCCAATAACCAAAAGACTACTGAACTTGCCATTTACATTATATTAATATATTAGGAATTGGAATGTTAAATTTAATAAAAAGTTTTATTGTGTTGCCTCAATATGCTCTAAATGCTATTGTCTGATATCATAAGGTGAAAATACCTATCATAGTCTAAGAAACTTGAAGTACTTGGATGTGTATCAATTGAGAAAAACAAGATGAGGTGATGCATAAAGACTCCAAAATGAGAATGAAACTCCAGAAATTTTGAAATTTAGTTGAAACAATTTGAATTAAAAATTTGATATCAAACCTAGTAAAAACATTATTGACAAGGACTTTGGCAACTGTAGAAGATGCTTCTGGTTTTGGCTCAGACGGGTCAGTTAAGTTAGCCCCCCCCATAGAAAATTTCTGGATGAAAATTATCCCATAATTTTGCTCTCATTTTGCTCCACTAATTTCGATTTTTGCTCCATTACAGTGGAGAGACTATGTGGCCTATTAGTGGGGGGGGGGGGCTGAATTAACGCTAGCCCCCCAGTGAAAATTCAGAAATTTGATCATGCTCATTTTGTTCTCCGAGTTTTGCTCCATTTTGCTTCACTATCGGCGAGTTTTGCTCCATTACCAGGAGAGACCTACAGAGCTTCCAAGAATCTCTCCCAGCCCCCCACGGTGAAAATTTTGAAATTTGATCATGCTCATTTTGTTCTTCGAGTTTTGCTCCATTTTGCTCCACTATCGGCGAGTTTTGCTCCATTACCAGGAGAGACCTACAGAGCTCCCAAAAGTCTCTCCTAGCCCCCCCCCGGTAAACATTTTCAAATTTGAACATGCTCATTTTGTTCTCCGAGTTTTGCTCCGTTTTGCTCCATAATCGGCGAGTTTTGCTCCATTGCCAGGAGAGACCTACAGAGCTCCCAAAAATCTCTCCTAGCCCCCCCCGGTGAATTTTTTTAAATTTGAACATGTCCATTCTGTTCTCCGAGTTTTGCTCCGTTTTGCTCCATTATCGGCGAGTTTTGCTCCATTACCAGGAATGACCTAGAGAGCTCCAAAGAATCTCTTCTTGCCCCCCCAGTGGAAATTTTGAAACTTGAAATTTCGAGTTAGTCCGAAATACTCCGCCTCCAATTTTACACATTCGAGCGAACATAGTTTGGCGCTCTCAAGCTGCTTTCACTTTCCTCGCCTGTTTCCCCTGAAGCACCTGTAACTGATTTTCAAGCGTTCGAGTGCAAAGCGCATTGAGTATAATGGGCGTGAAATGCTCGTGCTTCGCACACTGCACCCGAAAGCGGCTCTGGAAATGAACTAGACAGCTCCCAGGAATCTCTCCTTGCAACACGTGTGAAAATTGGAAGTTTTGCTCCATTTCCTGGAATGGACCTACGAGCTCCTAAGAATCTCTTCTAGCGCCCTTTCACCAGTTAAAAATTTTGTTTGATCATATTCATTCTGTTCTCCGAGTTTCGCTCCGTTTTGCTCCATGATCGGCGAGTTCTGCTCCATTACCTGAGCCTGAGCTGCTTTCGGGTGCCACGCTTTGAGCAATCAGGCGCTCTGAAGCTGCTCTCATTTTCCTCGCCTCTTTTTCCTGATGCACCTGTACCTAACTGATTTTCAAGCATTTGAGTGCAAAGCGCATCGAGTATAATGGCTATGAAGAGAACGGTGGTCCCTGGTTTCACTAGCTTTGTTTGTTTATTCGCACCAACAAGGCACCAACCGACACTTTCTACACCAAACGTGTTTGTTTATCCAAGGTTTATTCCTATATATTTTTTTTTTGTATGGGTCTGACAGAGACAAACTGACTTTTTGATGCACCTGGTGCAGACTGGTGTAACTTTGGTACAAATAGACAAACAGAGCCCGCAAGAAGCCCTGTTAGTTAAAACTAATTTCGATCCTTTTTTTTTTCACGTGCTTCTAGAAAAAGACAGAAATAGTCTAAGTACGCACTGAATTTACAAATGGGAATTGCTTGCAAAAATAGTTATTTATGTCATAAATAAATACCGATAATCAAGCTCGTTTGCTCGAGCGCCATGTTCGGAGCAGTCAAATGTGTTCCGAATGATTTTATATTGACATGACAGTGCAAATCGATGAGACAAAGATGGCGTCTATTTTCAAGTGAACAAATTTGACAGACGTCGTAAATCATAGGGACAGCCTTTTATTTTTCCGAAATAGCTATTTATGGCGGTGATCTTTTTTTAACTGTCAGTAATGTACCCAGTTACTTTTGGTGACGATGGTATTTGCTTGCAAATCGTTCCAAAATCAAAATTCAGTTTACTGATTTACTGGCTTGGCAAGCTTTTGAAATGCACAATGACATATGCGCATTTTCACCGATGTAATGCTGTCCTTGTCATTTGACAGCAGCAAAACAAGGATAGGTTACTCCTCATCAAGAGAAATGCGCATAAGCAATTGGTGAATTCAAAAACTTGGCCTTCCTTCAAGAACCCTAAATCTTAATAGAATGGCTTATCTAGCTGAAAGTGTCTGCCATGTCCACGCGAAAACTCCCCACCATTTGTGTCATTTTGACGTCAATGTAGACCTCAGTGACGTCACGACTAGTCGAAAAGCGAACGTACGCCTTATGCCTCATTCTCACTTGCGCGAAATTCGCTCTTCTTTTGACATTGCTTCGACAATTTGACGTTTTATGCGTGTATCAAACGTCAAATTGTCGAAGCAATGTCAAAAAAGAGAGAATTTTGCGCAAGTGAGGGCTTTATGGGAAAAGCCATCCTGTTAGTTGAGGGTTGTTGGCCTTCCTTTATCCAATTTTAATTGCTCTTTCTTTCTGTTCCAAACCGTTCCTTGTTCACTTTGGAGCAGAAC